ATTTCTGAGATTACTTCTTCCAAACGTTCATTTTCTTCTCTAGTTAAATTTGATTTAAGAAAATCTTTTTGCGAACTATTAAAATAATTAGGGTTAAGACTCGGAGTTTTCTGCATTGATTTCTTCGGATTAATAGATTTCACGAGTGTTGATGTGGTTGTGAACGTAAATTTAGCCGGACTCACTTGTAAAATAGTAGAGTTTTTTGAGAATCTATCCCACAAAATTTGACAGGAGATTAAAAAATTAGAATTTTTTGTGCCATCAACTAGGGTAGATAGATCTGTAAGAAATCAGATTTTTTTTACATATTCTTATATTATTAAATTTATAAAAATACAGAAAACTATATTGTTCTCATTGAAACGACTCAAAATTCTATGTTAAAAAAACTCTAAAAACCGATACAAATGAGAGTTAACAGTGACAAAATAGCAAACCAGTATTAACTTTTAACACCACATGTTTAATTAGAGTTAACTAACAATAGTGTAGTCCTTTGCCATTTCCCCTAAATCGATTTGGGATAGAAAATTCTCTCTCGATGTTGTTATAATCCTGACGAATAAAAGAAAAATATTTCGAGTAAGGGTTTTTCGATCCTAAACCAATTTGGGAGAAATGCCAAAGTGCAAACGTGTTTTTTGTTTAGTCTAATCAAACAGGTAGTATTAAAATTAACAACACCGATTAGCGCTTTGCCTTAACTATCGTTAAGTTTTGGATTCGAATATGATATATCATGGATTTTATTGTTTTTAACCATGATATAGGTATTGCTTTTAGAGACTTTTTGTTATTTCTAGAATCTTTTCTAGTCTTTTTTAGGTTTATACACGTTCGGGACCAATTTGGAGATTATGGATCATTTTGGAGCAAAACCGAGAAGTTATGCTACGAGAGCAATCCAGAAACCAAAATTCGTGCAAGTGTCGATCGACACCACCCCTGGTGTCGGTCGATACCAATATCTGACGGCAATTCGATTTCACATCTTTTTGAAGTTATGAAGATTTGAAGAATCGCCCCAAAACATTTTCCTATTTTCAAAGAAGTCATGCACGTTTTTAAGAACATATATATATAGATTCTTAGGGTTTTGTTTTAGAGACATCTCTGAATCTATTGTATTATTTGGAGCTTGAACCCTTTAGGAGACAATTGGAGAGAACTCCTCCAGAGAAGATCTTTCTTAACTCTATTCTCTTCTTTATTTTCTTAATGCAATTCTATTCAATCATGTTGTTTGTTTCATTCTCCATGTCTGAGTAGTTTGCTTGTTAGGTTTAGGGATTCTCATTAGGGATTTAGATGAATTAGTAGATCGATTACCTGTTAGGATTAATCTATAGAGTTCTTCAACTTAACTTGTTCTTAATGCTAGTTCTAGAATACCTAACTAGAACTTGATCATAGGATAATAGGTTTTGATCCGAGAGGGCGCCTGTTACTGTAACTATCTTAGGTGGGCAGAAATTACTAGATACATCCGAGAGGAGGTCTAGGAATATCTGTGATCATATCAAATCTGTTTTTAATGCTAGTCTAAATCTAGGAGTTTACATTCGAGAGGAAGAACTACCTGATATTAGATTAGTTAGTCAAAACATCCGAGAGGAGGTTGGCTATACATTAGTGCTTTGAGTTCTATAACGGTTCGATAAATAATCTTAATTAATTTGCAAGATTTACTATTTATTTATTTCTTGAGAAATCCTTAAGTCTGACGTTTTCTTCATCTGATTTAAAACCCGATTTTAATTTATTTCTTTATTTTAAATATTTTTTATTTTCTGTTTAGCTTAATTCAAAACATGTTAGTCTATTGTGTGAACACGAGAACTTTGTGGATTTCGACCCTAAAGTGCTACACACGATCTCTTATTTGAGAGAGTAGTCTTAGGTCTAGTTTGACTCACTTCAGAATCAACCAATATATAGTCAATACAAAATATTCGTAAACCATATATAATTAAACGAAATATTTTTATTCCGACCCCAATAGTTTGGATATTAAACGTCCAAACAAAAATAGATAGTTTTTATTTAAGATTTTTCCGTTGTAGAAATGATGATTTAGATGTGTATGCCAATACAATAAAACCTCTATAATTACCAATATCGGAACCATGAATTTCAATTAATTTATAGAAGTATTAATTTATCAATAAATTAATAAATATTAATTTATTGAAAAATTCGGCTAAAACTTTTCTTTTTCGTTATAATCAATATCTTGCTATAACCAGATACAAGTGAAAAAAAAACATTATGACTAGAAAACAGCACAAAAAGTTTCCATGGAGTAAGATTATTAAAATGAACTCTACCAAGAATTATTGAAAATTAAAAAAAATATATATATATATATACTTGTCATATTTCACTAAATTTTCTTATATATATATACATATTTTTATAAATTATTAATTTATAATATTGATGAGACTATATATTAACAAATAATTTTTAAAAAGGTTATTATCTTATTATTTTACGAATTGCCTCAAATATTACATTGGCCCAAACCAAATAAATTACTCCTTCCGTTTCGTTTTAATTGTCGTTTAAGGTTTTTTCACACAAATTAAGAAAACTATTAAATTTTATGTTTTACCCTTTATTAAAATATTTTATAATTTTTTCATTGGTCAAAACATTAAAACAATAGAGATAAAACTGGAATTTTTACAAAACATTTGCATTGAAAACCTAAAACGACAACTATTAAGAAACAAAAATTAAATCCTAAAACGACAACTAAACTAAAACGGAGAGAGTATTAATTTATATTAATTATTAATTTATGAAATATTAATTTATATAAGTTTTACCTTAATTGTCTAACCAATTTGCATATGATAAATGAGTTTGTAGAAGTTAGTTGAAACTTGAAACGCACAAGTTGGCATGAGTTGATTGAAAATGTCCTCATAAATGTCCATCAGTCGACAGGAAAAATATATTAAACCAATCAAATCGTTTTCCCATATCTAAAACAGTGAGAACGTGTTTCATGAAGTATATCGTTTCTTCTCGTTCCAGTCCCGAATTTCTCTTACTTTTGGAGAACCGAAAATTATAAATACTTGTTTAAGAACAAAAATCTATCTCTTACTAATAAAAAGGACTAATTGAGGTTTCTAAGGCTAGCCACGTCAACTTTTTAAAGTTTAACCTCATATTGCCACGTCAGCTTAATATTTTAGAGATCCAATCTTTGCAAGTGAAAAAGAAAATTTAGGTTTCTTCGCATCTTCACCTTTCTTTCTATTCCCGATTACCTTTTCGTATTCCAAATATTATCACAACGAATGGAATCTATATATATAATGGGAGAGTTTTCTCTCCATCTAGCCTATCCACCTAAGCATCCACCTAAGCAACATTATTTATTTTATATTAAAATACACTTAAAACATTTATTTAGGGCATATGTATGTTACTTATAATTAATAGAAATTTTAAATATAAAAAAAAAGAATTATGTAAAATAAATAAAATGTTAAAATAATTAAAAAACTATAAAAATATTATTATTATTAGTAGTAATAATATACTTCCACTTTTAATAGATAAAAATTAAAAATGATCACACTTCAAATCTTTAAATATTTTGATGAGTTTTAGCAGGGCCGTCCCAAACTATTTGAGTGCCTAAAGCAAAAAAATTTTTGGCCCATTAACAAAAGCTGTTATAAAAAAAAATACAAGTTTTAACATGTATGGGATTCGAAATCGTGACCTGTACAACAAAAGACTTCAATCTAACCACTAGACCACAGTAACATTTTAAAAATTGATGCCCCTAAAACTATTTATAATTATTTGATGCCTAAAGCCCTTGCTTCATGGGCTTTACCCATGGGCCGGCCCTGAGTTTTAGAATGGAAGTAAATTTTAAATACATGCTAGAATAAAAATTAATTTATGTAATTCTGTATATAAAATTTTAAACAAAAAATAAAATTTAAAGTGAAACATTAGTTTCTAAGAACAATATACTACATATTTTTATTTATTATTAAATTTTTACTTAAGAAAAATAAAAATTACTAAACTCAACTTAAATTTATAATTTAAGACGAAGGTATTGTAAAAGTCACACTTTATCTTGTGAAATTATATAAAAAATTCTTGAAAACTTTGAAACATTATCATCCATCTTTAAAAAATAAATAATCAATGATCATATTATTCATGAGTTCTACACAAAATATACAGAAATGAAAATGAAAGTCGTTAGAAAAGTGATATGTAATTTGTATAGCATATTCTCAAATGAAACTTAAAACATGATCAAAAAGCAAAACAAGATTGATATTTCATCAAATGCTTTTGACCCAAAAAATTGAGTATTGAAAGACTATAATTAAGGAGAAAATAATTAATAATATGTCTTGAAAATCAATTCATAGTCCAATATATATAATATGTGAGTCAATAGAAGGTGAAAAGAAAGTGGCAACGAGTGCATCATAAAAGATGACGAAAGAATTGGTAGTTAAAAGTGTTTAATAATAAATTCTAAAACTTAGAAAGATAATGCACATGACTAAGGTTAAATTCTTTGAGATCTCATTCATTATGTGAAACGAATGAGTTTTTGGAAAAATACATGACATATATTATTAAACAGATTATTAGATTCAAAGTTGGGTTTAACCATTTGGTGGTGTAATGATGAAAAGTTAGATAAAATATGCACATTGATGAATTCGTCGAAAATTCTCTTATGGCACAATGCACTTGCTTCAATAAGTTAAACATGCTTGCTAATGTTATAGCAACATGATATTATAGATGTACATTTACACTAAATAATGTTCATGAAACTAGGTATATTCACATTTTATATTAAATGATGTTAAAATTTGATTTGTTATATTTATGCTCAAATATTTATCTTTTAAATTTAAATGATTATATCTTATGATCAAAAAATTTTATTAATAAAAGAGATTTTAAATTAAAATCCCACGCAACGCGCGGACACAAAATCTAGTTCAATATAAATTACGCTTCCTAATGCTCTCCGAAAATACATCAAAAAGTTTTATGCGTTAAATATCAGACAGTGATCCAGCATGTGTTTCTATTTCGCTTTGGTTGCAAGCAAATCTTAGGAATTTCACACAAAGGTTTGCATGTTATTTTTATTTTCTTGCAGTATCTAATTATGCTCTTTCTTTTCTTTTAAAGGAATGAGATAAAATCAGCGGAAGCTTAAGCTTCTCAAGCTAATTGACGAGACAGAAACTTCAAATGGAGTAAGAGCTAACTCATAAGCCTCTTGATTATGAGTTAGCTCTTTCAATACACCAATTTGCTGATTATGTTTCACAGCTTTCAACAAGTACAGAAAATGGTGACAAATCAGACAATGATATCTAATGAACTCATGTGGCATCGCATTGGTTGGTTTCAGGTGCGTTTAGAGAAAATTTAGATTTCTAATTACCCACACTATATATAACTATGAGAAACTCATTGAATTTTCAGGATTACAGTGTAAAACGATTTTATGGCTAAGACCTAAGGAAACTAGCCCTTAAGCATTAGCTATTGGAAACCTACAAAGTGTACCAAAGAGTTTTATACCCTGTCATTAGGTTTCACCACTAATATCCTCCTCACTATACAGTTGTTCTCTTCTTCCATTGGTTTCGTATCCCTACTCAAATGTTACTATTAATTAGCCATTTATTTATTTTCAATGTAAGACCATTTCATTAAGTATGTTCTCAATCTATAGACTAAAGTATTGTTTCTCTATGCTATGTGCTAGATAAGTAGTTATGTTAACAACATATAGGAGTTAATTTCTATTCGCATATATATATCACAAGCATCTTAGGTTAGATATCTCTTTTTGTTCAATAGCCACATGCATGTGTCTGATGCAGAACCACACGTGTGCCATCGCACGTGAGAGTCAAGTGGGAAAAGAAGCTAATAAGAAGAGGACGTGTGGAGAGAGGAGATTGGGTGATTCAAGTTTGCCGTTAGAATCTTTCAATAAAGAGCATGTGCAGCTCAACAATTGTTTTATCGATCATTTTCCAGAATTCTAAAACTTCTAGAATCTTCTCTCTGTAATTTTGCTGGGTTTCTCTCACCTTGAGAGCTGGCGTGACGATCACTCTGCGTTTTATGAACGTTGTTTGATCATTTGTTTAATAAAGGAATTATTCAGAAATTGTGTTGGTTGAATCGGTGAGATTGTGAGTTTCACTGTATTAAAGGTATCAGAGCATCTACGTTCCTTGGAAATCATGGGTGTTGCAACAAGATCTGGTGTGACGACGGAGCCAACGGTGTCTCCGGTGTTAGTAGATGACGATTCTGTTGTGTCAAAGATCAAAAGGTTGGAAGATCTGATCGAAGACCAGAATCGGAAGATGGAGAATCATATTGCGGAGATGTTTGAAGCTTTTCGTTTGAACAATCATCAGAAATCATCGACGCAGCTTCCTTCTCCAGATCGCGCTGCTCCGATGTCTTCAATGACTCAGGGAAACCATTCTGGTTACTCCGATCATTCTCGGGAGGTAAGATCTGCTCCTCAATATGGAGGTCTTACAAGACTGGGTAAGATCGATTTCCCTAAGTTTGATGGATTTCGGATTCGAGACTGGTTGTTTAAGGTAGAGGAGTTTTTTGGTGTTGATAATACTCCGGCGGATTTGAAAGTACGACTAGCAGCGATTCACTATGAAGGACGTGCTGCTACCTGGCATCAGTCTTTTATGCAATCGGGTGTTGGTTTGGATGTGTTGTATGACTGGAAGGGATATGTTCAATTCTTGAAGGAAAGGTTTGAGGAAGTCTGTGAAGATCCCATGGCTGATCTTAAAAATTTGCAGGAAACTGATGGAATTACTGCTTATCATGAGCGTTTTGAATTGATTAAGACGCGAGTTCGTTTATCGGAGGAGTATTTGGTGAGTATTTACTTGGCTGGGCTGCGAGTTGATACTCAGATGCACGTAAGGATGTTCCAGCCACAAACGGTGAGGCATTGCTTTCAGTTGGGAAGGTTGTATGAAAAGGCACACCCCAAGAAGCCTGTATCTCAGGGTTGGCTTGGCTCTAGGAGTGGAAGTTCCAGTGTTGTTTCTAAAGGGTTGCTCTCTTTACCTAAAGAAATTGATGATCGAAGTGGACAGGGGGTCAATAAACCATTTCAGAAACCTCCAGGAACAACACCAAAGAAGTTTTTATCTAAAGAGGAGATGAGTGAAAGGAGAGCTAAAGGCTTGTGTTACTGGTGTGATGAAAAATTCACCCCTGATCATTACATGACACATAAAAATGCACAACTCTATTGCATGGGAGTGGATGAGGATGATGTTTTTGTGGATGCAGTAGAAGAGGCTGAAGAGATGGAACAAGATGGCCAGGTGAGGCCACAAGTTTCTCTCAATGTTGTATCCGGCATCTCTGATTACCATACCATGCGCGTGCGGGGTACCTATGGAAAAAGGACCTTGTTTGTGCTAATTGATTCTGGTTCGACACATAACTTTGTGGACCCTGTAGTGGCTGCTAAGTTGGGATGTCTTGTTAAACCATCGGGTTTAACTAAAGTCTCTGTTGCGGATGGAAGGAAGTTAGGAGTTCAAGGGAAGGTTGATAATTTTACTTGGAAATTCCAGACTACAGAGTTTGTCACTGATGTAATGCTGATTCCTTTGAAGGGGTGTGACATGGTTTTAGGTGTACAATGGTTGGCAACTCTGGGCCATATCTCATGGGAATTTAAGAAGTTGGAAATGGGTTTTAAATGGGGAAAACAATGGGTACTACTACATGGAATTAAGAATGGTTCTGTGAGAGCTATCAAAGCTCAGAAACTTAATAAGTTACAGGATAATCAAGTTCAACTTTCTATGATTTGTGTGAATATGCTAGAAGAGGAAGAAGCTGATAACACTACTTCACTGAATGCATTAAAAGTTGATCCTGCAGCTCCAGCAGAGGTACTTCAGTTGGTGGAAGGGTTCCCTGAAGTCTTTGCTGAGCCTACTACTCTACCACCGTTTCGAGCCAATCATGATCATCAGATTCAATTGGTGGAGGGTTCTAATCCGGTTAACCAGCGTCCTTACAGGTATTCTATACACCAAAAGAATGAGGTTGATAAAATTGTGGAGGAAATGCTTACAAGTGGGTCTATACAACCAAGTGCTAGTCCTTATGCATCCCCTGTGGTGTTAGTTAAAAAGAAAGATGGATCATGGCGGCTGTGTGTTGATTACAGAGAACTTAATGGAATGACTGTGAAGGACAGATTTCCAATTCCTCTTATTGAAGATCTTTTAGATGAGCTTGGTGGTTCTCGGATTTATTCAAAAATTGATCTTAGAGCTGGGTATCATCAAGTCAGGATGCATAAAGATGACATACCAAAGACAGCTTTTAAAACCCACAGCGGACATTATGAGTATTTGGTAATGCCCTTTGGGCTTACAAACGCTCCAGCAACATTTCAAGGACTGATGAATGCAGTTTTCAAGATGTTTCTCAGAAAATTTGTGCTTATCTTCTTTGATGATATTCTCATCTATAGTAATTCCCTGGAGGAGCACATTCAACATTTGAGACATGTTTTTGAGGTGATGAAGAAGAATCAGTTGTTTGCTAAAATGAGTAAATGTGCCTTTGCCGTGGACAGGGTGGAGTATTTGGGACATTTTATAAGTGCAGAAGGTATTTCAACAGATCCTGCTAAGATTAAGGCCGTGGAGGAATGGCCAATTCCTTCTAATCTTAAGCAGCTCAGAGGATTCTTGGGGTTGGCAGGCTACTATAGACGTTTTGTTAAACACTTTGGTGCCATTGCCAGTCCTTTACATGCTCTGACCAGGAAGGATGCTTTTCTGTGGTCCTCTGAAACACAGGAGGCGTTTGACAAACTGAAGATGGCTCTCTGCCACACACCTGTTTTGGCTTTACCTTTATTTGACAAAACTTTTGTGGTAGAGACAGATGCTTGTGGACATGGAATTGGTGCCGTTTTGATGCAGGAAGGCCATCCAATAGCTTATATAAGTCGACAACTTAAGGGTAAACAACTTTCTCTTTCAATTTATGAAAAAGAATTGTTGGCAGTCATTTTTGCGGTGAATAAGTGGAGACACTATCTGTTGTCTAGTGACTTTATCATTAAGACTGATCAAAGGAGTCTCAAGTACTTATTAGAACAGAGGCTCAACACTCCTATTCAACAACAGTGGTTACCTAAATTGTTGGAGTTTGATTATGAGATTCAGTATAAGCAGGGCAAGGAAAATTTAGTAGCTGATGCTCTCTCTCGAGTGGATGGTTCTGAGGTCTTGCATATGTCTATGTCTGTGGTGGAATGTGATTTGTTGAAGGACATTCAGACAGGTTATGACACTGATCAAGAAATAAAAGCCATCATTGAAGCCTTAAAACTGAAGCCAGACGCGAAAAAACACTATTCTTGGATGCAAAACATCTTGCGGAGGAAGAGCAAGATTGTCGTGCCTCAAGATACCAAATTAAAGGATTCAATATTAGCTTGGTTACATTGTTCTGGGGTTGGTGGCCATTCAGGTCGTGATGTCACTCATCAAAGGGTCAAAGGAATTTTTTATTGGAAAGGAATGGTGAAGGATATTCAGTCTTACATAAGGAGTTGTGGAGTTTGTCAACAATGTAAGAGTGATAATGCAGCTTCTCCTGGGTTGTTGCAACCTTTGCCAATACCTGATACAATATGGAGTGAAGTTTCTATGGATTTCATAGAAGGATTACCGCTTTCTGCGGGTAAGTCTGTGATAATGGTTGTAGTGGACAGGTTGAGCAAGGCAGCTCACTTCATGGCTTTGTCTCACCCTTACAGTGCCTTGACAGTAGCCCAAGCTTACCTGGATAATGTTTTCAAGCTTCATGGCTGCCCTGTTTCAATTGTCAGTGACAGAGATAAAATCTTTACAAGTGAGTTTTGGAAGGAATTCTTTACTCTTCAAGGAGTGTCCTTAAAAATGTCTACTGCTTATCATCCTCAAAGTGACGGTCAGACTGAAGTTGTGAATCGATGTTTGGAGACTTATCTGCGTTGTATGACTAGTGATCAGCCCCATATGTGGAGCAAATGGTTGGCCCTTGCGGAGTTCTGGTACAATACTAATTTCCACTCTGCAATCCAGCTGACACCATATGAGGCTGTTTATGGCCAAGCACCTCCGGTGCATTTGCCATACCTTCCTGGGGAGTCAAAGGTGGCTGCCGTGGCGAGATCTTTGCAGGAGAGGGAGAACATGATTTTGCTGCTGAAGTTTCACTTATTGCGTGCTCAACACAGGATGAAGCTTTTTGCTGATCAACACCGTACTGAAAAGGAGTTATCTATTGGAGATTATGTGTATGTGAAGCTACAACCGTATAGGCAACACTCTGTGGTATTACGCTCTAACCAGAAACTTGCTCCAAAATACTATGGTCCTTACAAGATTATTGATAAGTGTGGTGCAGTAGCTTATCGCTTACAGTTGCCTCCTTCTTCCTTAGTTCATCCAGTGTTCCATGTCTCTCAACTGAAAGTTCTTGTGGGTAATGTCACTACTACTACTGAGTTACCTTCTGTTGTACAAGATGCATTTGTCAGGGAGCCTGAATACATTTTGGAACGCAAGATGGTTAAGCGCCACAACCAAGCTGTGACAAAAGTGTTGGTAAAGTGGGCTAGGGAACCAGTTGAAGAGGCAACCTGGGAGTTTTTGTTTGATTTGCAGCAGAAGTTCCCTACTTTTGAAGCTTGAACCTTGTGGACAAGGTTCTGCAACAAGGGGAGTTGTGATGCAGAACCACACGTGTGCCATCGCACGTGAGAGTCAAGTGGGAAAAGAAGCTAATAAGAAGAGGACGTGTGGAGAGAGGAGATTGGGTGATTCAAGTTTGCCGTTAGAATCTTTCAATAAAGAGCATGTGCAGCTCAACAATTGTTTTATCGATCATTTTCCAGAATTCTAAAACTTCTAGAATCTTCTCTCTGTAATTTTGCTGGGTTTCTCTCACCTTGAGAGCTGGCGTGACGATCACTCTTCGTTTTATGAACGTTGTTTGATCATTTGTTTAATAAAGGAATTATTCAGAAATTGTGTTGGTTGAATCGGTGAGATTGTGAGTTTCACTGTATTAGTGTCCTAATGGTTTGTAATTTGATCGTTTGGGAAGGATCTTATAATGCATCTTGAAGCTTGGTTGGATTTTCCTTTATCTGATGAGGAAGGCAACTTTGCTGGTAAGTTTTCGTTTCAAATATTCCTTGGACATGTAAAATTGTTTCTGGTTTTTGAGTATAAAGTTATATATACTCTAATATGAGGTGAGTCAATAAGAAATTCATTAGCTTAAATACAAAGATTATTATCAACTTTGCTTTCAGACATGATATGCAATATAACGAGATTCTGTTCTGGATCTCTTGACGTTTTCAGGAAATGTTGGTAGGGTGGGGGTGTTGTTCAAATCAAACTTAAGAGGCCAACCTGCTAAAAGTTACAAGAAAATAAAGACCAGAATGGAGGTAAAAATTCTATTTTTTGGATTTTCCTTTTTAACTAAGATCGTTGACAAGCAAATGTTGGGACAAACATTGATAATATATTGCTTATCAATGTGCAGAATAGATTTGGTGACCAGTACAAGCCACAACAGGTATACTACATGCTTCCATGTTACTAAAGATTTATTATTAAAGATATTATTATGTACTACATACAATTGCAGATGTTCCTTAATGGTTTGATGCTGCTTCTTTTGGATTATATATAGTGGCATTGTTTACATGGTTTCTCCGTAATGTGTCTATTAAAATATAAGAAGGAAAGAAGAGAGAGGCCGAAGAGGCCGAGCCATCTTCAAGAAAGAGAAGAAGAAGTAGAAGGGAGTCAAGGCCGAAGTCATGAAGACAAGGCCGAAGATCTCCAAGCTTGACCTTTGGTCCTTATTGTCCCGACGCTCAAGCTTGCGGGGGAGTATTGAACCAAGTGAAGAGAAAGATCCATCCGCACTTCCAATCGTTTGGTCCGATCGGTTGCACAACCGATCGGAGCCACTCGTCCGTACGGTGAAGAAAAGGATGTGTGCATTGCCGCTCGGTTGTGCCGATCGGTTGCACAACCGATCGGAACCTCATTGCTCTTCCGATCGGTTATGCCAATCGGTTGCACAACCGATCAGAACTCTTCTACATCGTGTCCGTACAAGGCCGTCCGTACAAGTTAAGGAGAGGACGTCCGTACAAAGTTGTGATCGGCCATTTAGGATCTTCTCAAGCCTTCTAAGAGCCTTCTAAGAGTCATCCAAAGCTTCCAAAGCATCTAGAAGCATCCGGATCCTTCCCGAGCCTTCCTTATAGCCGTTGCAAGTTCAAAAGGAGGAAGAAGACAAGAGTTGCTTTATGCCTTGCTTTATGACGTGTCTTGGACTTGCTTTTGGGTCCTCATGACCGTTGGACCTTCTAGAAGCAATTTGAATTGAATGGTGGAGATTTAAAGAGAGAAAAGAAGGGCTAGGATTAAAGGGGATTGTGAGACACCTTAACCTAGTTCTCTTTCTATATAAAGGCTAGTAGCCTCATTGTAAACCACACACATAAGATTAATAGACAAGCTCTTATATCAAATTCGTGTAGCTCTCTCTTCTTTACTTGTGTTCAACTAAAGAGTTACAATGTAGAGAGATAGTGTTACACGATTTAGGGCTGCCTTTAGGCAGCCTATTGCTTGTCATACTACTCTTAAATACACCTTAAACTCTTCTTATCTCTTATTTATGTTGTTTACTCTAGCTTAATGACTCATAGATTCGTTTCTCTCTAAGTACACAAACCTTTAGTGTTGTGTTACTTCTCATGGATCTAGCTTCATACTAGAGATAGTTGTCTTGCTAGAATCGATTCTCTCCATAGAGATTTCGGTTCTATCAAGCTATATTGGTGTGGATTCCATCACAAGTTGATGGTCTCTTCCTTTTGAGAATGAGTTCCTTTTGTGTGGGTAAAAGGAGATTCAATCACCAAGTGATTGTCTACTCTCTCTTATGAGCTTAGTCTCTTAAATTCCAACATGGTATCAGAGCCAGGTTGCTCTCTTGGAACTCTTAAAATCGTTCTCAAGTCAGTTTTATATTTCTCTTAGTTGTTAAATTGCTTAGCTTCTTTAAAGGTTTCAGCTTTAGACTAGATTCTTTAAAGTTTCAGCTTTTATTGTTAAAATCGTTTCTCTAGCAGCTCAATGTTGAGAAAAGCTTGGATTCTGGTCTTGTTAAAGTTCTTAGACCAAGCATGTGAAGAGAAATTGATGATTCCATTGGACAAACTGTTTTGTTCCAATGGTTTCTTTAAAACTAGGCCACGGAAATCATCTTCAATATGGTATTTCGTGGTTCATAGTTCTTTAAAGTCACCGGAAAACTCTTGGTCATGAGTTATTTCGGTGTGTTTATGTCTTAAACCGGTGGGTAAATGAATTGCCCAACGGTCCATATTGTTTCAGCCATTAAAGCACCAAACTCTGGATGATTATTGGATGCCTTGGTTATTAAAGCTTCCGCTTAACTCAAGAAAACAGAGCAAAACTCTGTCCATTTGAACTCTTGAGCAAACTCTCTATTCTCCATTCTCCTTTATTGTCTACTATACTATTATTCTCCTTTATTTCTGCCCATTCTATTCACTTACACTAATCTTTCACCAATTTTGTTTTTGTTGCCCATTAACTCTAATCTGTTTTGCAAGAAATCGCTTGTTTCATGAAGAGAAGGCAAATGCATTTGTTAGAGATTAAGGGCTAGATAATCTGGACACTATAAGTTTGCGGGAGGGTTAGAACCATTCACCATCAGACTTGAGATCCATTTAGACGAACCGCAAAAGTTCAAGTCTTCTTCAAATAAAGGCTGTTTCTAAACTCTACTCTCATTTCATGATATTTTTCATTAAACCATTGCCTTAGAATTCACAGCTTAATCATATTCATGAACTCCTAATTGTTGCTTAATAGCTTTGATATTCCTCATTTGGTTGAGTTAAGTTTCTCTTTGATATTCCTTATGGCAAAACTTAATCTCTTCTTCTTTATCTCTTGTTTAAGGGTGAAGGAGACCATAAGAGCCTCAAAGAGACCAATGAGAGCCTCAAGGAAGTAAAAGTTGACAAGGAAAGGATTCAGAACAAGTCATGAAGGACTAAGAAAGTGAAGAGTAGAGCCGGTTATATTTGAAGGCATAAGGTCCATTTAGACGATCCAACCAAGTCAAAACTCAAGACAACACAACACGAAGAAGAAATCTGGCCAGCGAACTCAAGTGGTTGTTAGAGAGGAAGTGACATTGGTGGACGATCAAATTAGAGAAGAAATCTGGTGGGAATGCTGAATCAAGCTCACGCATTCAAGTGTCAAAGTCATGGAGCTCAAGATTGAATGTGCACAAGACTTCAAAATCATTGATGTACAAGGTTTCAAGGCTCGAAAATGGTTAAAACCATCATGGTTTAACATGTTCTAAGAAGCGATCTAGAGATCTCAAGAAGAGAGCTCAAACCGCAACAAAAGTTCAGTAGCAGTTTGGAGTAGCCATGGAGTCCACGAAGTAGACAACATGATTGGTACTCGTTGGAAGTATCATGGCGTCTTAGAGTTAGACCTTGAAGAACCCGGAGTAGAAAATAATGGCTACCCGTGTTGAAGAAAGAGAGTGGCTTCAATTCTCATGCCCATTCTGGTTACTAAACCCCACATACTTTCAACCTCAACTAAAGAAAACAAAGCTAAGAACTTTGTCCATTGGCACTCTTGAGTCCATACTCTTTATTCTCTTATTCTTGGTAACATACACTTTCATTTTTGTCTCTTATTCTCAGGCTTATGCCTTCCATCTCTTCTTGAGAGTATTCCAAGAAGAAATGGCGACCACAAAAACAAAGCCCTTGAAGAAGAGACTCACGGAGGAAAGAAGGGGGAAGAGAACCATGGGATGTCTTTGAACGAAATGTTCAAAGCATTTAAAATCATGATGAATCCAAAAGTCCTCTTCAATTCACGTTGAAGAAGTTCTCTCAAAGGATAAAGAAAAGAAGCCATCATCAAGAATGGCGATTTAAACTCAAAGGCTGTGCTCTAAAACTCTACTCTATTTAAATTTAAATTCATTACCGTAGTTCAATTGCTAGTCTTTATGCTCTAATATGTTTCTCTTAAACTTGTCACATTCTTAAAATTTTCTTTGATATTCCTCATAGCATACACTTATACATTCTTCTTTATCACTTGTTTAAAGGGTAAAGGAGACTATGAGAGCCTCAAAGAAATTCGAGAAGTGCAAGATTGGAGATCATGAGAAGCGAGTTAAAGGCAGTGTAGCGGTTCAAAGACTTGAAGAGAAGAGAGCCGGTTCTTTACAAACCAAGATCATAGCGACATCAAGGACCGTGAAGGCTATACTCTTTTTCCCTTAACAAAGTTTGATCCCACGTGGTTTTCTTTGTTAAGGTTTTTAATGAGGTAGTCGACACGAGTCCACGCTTGATCTCTGGTTCTCATGTTGTCCCGACGATCAAACGTGCGGGAGGGTATTAAAATATAAGAAGGAAAGAAGAGAGAGGCCGAAGAGGCCGAGCCATCTTCAAGAAAGAGAAGAAGAAGTAGAAGGGAGTCAAGGCCGAAGTCATGAAGACAAGGCCGAAGATCTCCAAGCTTGACCTTTGGTCCTTATTGTCCCGACGCTCAAGCTTGCGGGGGAGTATTGAACCAAGTGAAGAGAAAGATCCATCCGCACTTCCAATCGGTTGGTCCGATCGGTTGCACAACCGATCGGAGCCACTCGTCCGTACGGTGAAGAAAAGGATGTGTGCATTGCCGCTCGGTTGTGCCGATCGGTTGCACAACCGATCGGAACCTCATTGCTCTTCCGATCGGTTATGCCAATCGGTTGCACAACCGATCAGAACTCTTCTACATCGTGTCCGTACAAGGCCGTCCGTACAAGTTAAGGAGAGGACGTCCGTACAAAGTTGTGATCGGCCATTTAGGATCTTCTCAAGCCTTCTAAGAGCCTTCTAAGAGTCATCCAAAGCTTCCAAAGCATCTAGAAGCATCCGGATCCTTCCCGAGCCTTCCTTATAGCCGTTGCAAGTTCAAAAGGAGGAAGAAGACAAGAGTTGCTTTATGCCTTGCTTTATGACGTGTCTTGGACTTGCTTTTGGGTCCTCATGACCGTTGGACCTTCTAGAAGCAATTTGAATTGAATGGTGGAGATTTAAAGAGAGAAAAGAAGGGCTAGGATTAAAGGGGATTGTGAGACACCTTAACCTAGTTCTCTTTCTATATAAAGGCTAGTAGCCTCATTGTAAACCACACACATAAGATTAATAGACAAGCTCTTATATCAAATTCGTGTAGCTCTCTCTTCTTTACTTGTGTTCAACTAAAGAGTTACAATGTAGAGAGATAGTGTTACACGATTTAGGGCTGCCTTTAGGCAGCCTATTGCTTGTCATACTACTCTTAAATACACCTTAAACTCTTCTTATCTCTTATTTATGTTGTTTACTCTAGCTTAATGACTCATAGATTCGTTTCTCTCTAAGTACACAAACCTTTAGTGTTGTGTTACTTCTCATGGATCTAGCTTCATACTAGAGATAGTTGTCTTGCTAGAATCGATTCTCTCCATAGAGATTTCGGTTCTATCAAGCTATATTGGTGTGGATTCCATCACAAGTTGATGGTCTCTTCCTCTTGAGAATGAGTTCCCTTTGTGTGGGTAAAAGGAGATTCAATCACCAAGTGATTGTCTACTCTCTCTTATGAGCTTAGTCTCTTAAATTCCAACAGTGTCCACCATGCAATTCAACCTATTGTAAGAACATGGTTAACCATGTTTTCTCCGAAATAATGCACTCCAACTTTTGTAAGATACAATCTCGATCTTAAGAAATAAAAATATTGGAGTCCATGTTTACCATAATCGCCATGCTTTCTTTACCATAAGTCACTACCCCTACTTGGAAATGAACACTGGAATGTTTATGAAAAAACGCATATTGCTATAGATACTTGTATGAAGCTCTCCAGAACCATAAGAGTGTCCAAGTCTTGCTAATCATCTACAAGATCGTGAGAAAATCACTGTAATTTCGGAAGGGGAGGATTCTTTCTTTGTGCTCCCTCTGCGAATAAAATAGCAAAAGAAATAGCTAGAAGCCTACAAAGTACGAACTATACCATTAATATATAGCAAGGGTGGCTTTAATAGTTATATAGACTAAGAAATGTAATATATATATATGTATTAAGTATTAACACCATTTAACTATCATAGCTACTACTATAAAAAATTAAAATTTCTCATAAATGCTTAATTTTCAAATACGACAAAAATGATGGTAAAAATTTAATATTTTAAAAGTAGAGGTATAGTCGCATGAACATCGAGTGTTCATGTTAAAGATGCAATTTTTAGTGACGTCGCAAGCAAAATTACAACAGTAACCTTTACATTAACTTCATGAGAAATATCCCAACTGCCAAAAAAGTTGATTAAAAACAAAAAATAAATTATAAATATAAATTACACTAAAAATAATTCATAAAAACTAAACAATTGATAGTACCAAACACATTTTTAAATATATCACATTATATTTTTGCATGTAATAATAATTTTTTTTAATAAAATTAAGTTAACTAATTCAGAAAATTTTAATCATCAAATATATATCCCCTAGTATATATAATGAAAGAGTTTTCTCTCCATCTAAGCTATCCACATCATCATATTAAACATCCAATTAAACAAAGCTATATATATATATATATATATATATATATATATATATATATCATTACTCAATATTTTCTAATTTTTACATTAAAGTCTAATAACAATGTTTATTTAATTCATATTTACTTATATTGACATTAGTTATAATTAATAGAATTTTTAATTAAATATAATAAATCAAATTTTAATATAGTAAAAGTAATACTATGAAATTTTTATTAGTAATATTAATATAATTCAACTTTTAACATAAACAAAGTTTAAAGTGATCATACTTCAAACTTTTGAATGTGTTAATGAGTTTTAGAATTGAAGTCAAATTTAAATGCATGGCAGAGTAATTTGTTTTTACATTATTCGGTTTCTACAATTTTTAAAGAGCAAAATAAAATTTAAATTGAAACATAAATTTATAAGAGCAATATACTACAATAATTTTTTCTTTATTATTAAATGTTCACTTAAAAAAAAATTACTAAACTCAACTAAAAAATTTTCATTTAAGACAAAGACATAGAAAGAGAGTCACACTTTTTTATGAAACTATATAAACAAATCGATGACAAAACAAAAATATAGAAACAAATCATGAAAATTCAAAAACGTTATAATATATCTTCTAGAAAAATAATAATAACAATGGTTATATTATTCATGAGTTGTATAACAAAATATTCATAAAGTAATATGTAAGGTGTTAACAAAACAAAAGGTGATATGTAAATTATGTAACATCTATCTCAAGTGGAACTACAACTCTATAACATAATCAAATAGAAAAACACAGTTTATCATTTAAATCAAATTTTTTTAGAGAAATTGTTAAAAATGTCCCTTTTTCAATACCCCTTTTCAAAAATGCTCCATTTGAGAGTTCATTTTTAAGTTTGCCCTCTTTTAATTTTTAATGACCATTTTACCCTTATTTGAAACAAAATTAGGTCCACAAAATACAAAATATTTTTTGGCGGGAAAATTGATCCCGCAATTTTCCCGCCAAAACACTTGTAAAAAACCTTTAAAATATCTTGTAAAATTTTCCCGTAAAAATTTTTCCCGCCAAAAAATTTTCCCGCCAAAAAATTTTTTTGCAGGAAAAGTGATTCCGCAATTTTTTTGGCGAAATTTTTTTGCCGGGAAAATTTTTGGCGGGAAAAATTTACAAGGTATTTTAAAGGTTTTACGAAGTATTTACAAGTGTTTTGTAAGGTTTTACAATGCATTTTAAAAGGTTTTACAAGGTACTTATAAAGTTTTATAAGGAATTTATAACTTGTAAAAAACTTATAAAACCTTATAAAAAACTTGTAAAATCTTATAACTTGTAAAACCTTATAAAATAGCTTGTAAAATCTTATAATATCTTATAAATACCTTATAAATACGTTGTAAAACCTTTTAAAATACATTGTAAAAGCTTATAAATACCCTGTAAAAAAACTTTAAAATACCTTGTAAATTTTTCCCGCCAAAAAAATTACGAAATCACTTTTCCCACAAAAAAAAATTTTTGGCGGGAAAAAATTTTACGGGAAAATTTTACAAGGTATTTTAAAGGTTTTACAAGTGTTTTGGCGGAAAAAATTGAGGGATCACTTTTTCCGCCAAAAAATATTTTGTATTTTGTGGACCTAATTTTGTTATATTTCCTTATATATTTGTGATATCTTTTATTAAAAGAAAGGTAATTTAGTCATTTTGTACATAAAAAGGGGCATTTTTGTGAGTCTCCCATTTTTTTAAACCAAAAATATTGGTGAAAACAACATATTTAAAGTATATTATGTTTTTATTTGACAAGAAGATGTTAAGGTTGTATCACAAGATTAATAATTCAAAATAACAAAAACGGTAAGCAAAATAGTGGTTTGAAATCACAAAAAACGGTAGGCTAAAGAGTTGTATGAAATCTTATTGACACTATTACGGATGAAGATGAGTCACTTTATTTAAGTGTTGTGAAAAACAAAAAAAAAATATAATATTTTCATAGAATCTTTTGTAAGTGTAGTTAAACATTAGATTATGCAATCTTTAAAAAATAAATTGTCTAAAAAATATCAAATATTTTTTTTTAATAGATATTAGTCAAATTTTTAACAGTTTAGAGTTATCTTCAATTGTTATGATTATAAAAATTTAACCACGCAACGCGTGGGTCATTTTCTAGTTATATTTAACGAGTAATGCAAAGAGTTCAGAATGGCTCTGAGATTCCCTAATCACTCATTAAGTACTTTTTCTTTTTGGTTATCAAGCACCTATTAATTTTACGAAAACATAAAGACAAAATCTGAATACCTATAATTTTCGTTATGAAATATGAAAAGAATTCATATTGCGAAATGTCATCACTAACACGTCTAGCTTCCCTGCTCTGCTTCTGCTCGCTTCAAACTCAACACTCACTACTTCCACTCGTTTCATTCTCCGATATGTTTTTCATGCCTCTATTCCCACGATATGTAGAGAACGGAAGCAACACAGGCATGGCCTCATCATAATGTAAATACTATTGATTATGTACATAAACACCAACAATGAGAACTAATGAAGTGCCAAAGTGTGGACGCTGGTCCCAAACCAAATGCGGAGTGCGTCCCAAACCAGACGGTGAGCTTCCGTCTTCTCCTGAGCAACTAATCAAATTCAATAAAACCAAAAAAAAAAAAACAAATCAAATTCATAGACCGCCTCTTCTATAACATGCTAAGCACAATCAAGCAGCGGGGGTTTCCAAAGTTTGATGACGCACTCCGCATTTGGTTTGGGACCAGCGTCCACACTTTGGCACTTCATTAGTTCTCATTGTTGGTGTTTATGTACATAATCAATAGTATTTACATTATGATGAGGCCATCAAGTCAGCATCAACCAATGAGCATGGAGGAGACACCAACCAGACCCTTGGAGAGAACCAACTCAAGCGTACCAAAGACTTATGTGCCTTTATTAAAGCATATCAACCCAACCGATGTGGGAGTATGACTGGTACCACTCATTTTCCATTATCTAGGGTACAGTTTTTTTTCCAATGGGTTTACCTAGAAAGGTTTTTATTGAAGCAACATCAAATCATCAAGGATCCATGGAGAAGTGGAATTGGTTCAAAAGCTTTCCACATGAGGAAGATATTCAAGTTACAATTCAGCAGACTTCCAATGAACCCGATGGAGACCAACATCTACTTATTGGAGGATTCCGAGCAGACCAAAAGGAGTTAAGCTAAGAAGTTAATTTTCCTACAATCTTGGCTCAACAGAGACACATCATGGCGAATTGGAATCAAGTCAATACCAATTTGGTTTGGAAGATATTAATTTTCTAAACCAAAAGATCCTCGACTTGCCTTATTTGGAATCTTGCGGGTTTAGGAGACTCCAAACGTATATATCTAGCGTAAATTTTCAAAGCCGTAACGGCAATAACTGAACTAAGCCTGCCTACTTTCTCCCACCAGCTGAATCAAAGTTCTAAGTTTTATTCCAAATAAATATTATTTAGGCCAAACAAATGCGTAGGAAATAATCTCTGATGCAATGCAAGGGATATGAATCAAAAACTCTTAAAAACTAGAACATTGAGAGCAAAAGATCAACACTTTGTAAAATCATGCTCCAAGCACCAATGACATTTCTCTTCAGCATTTGAGAATTATGCAGAAAAATCAAATGTTTGATATATACAAAGGATTATTATCAGCCATTTAGGGCAACAAGACCAGAGTAAATGTCGATAAAAATAACTTACAGATGAAACAGCTGCTACACTTCTTGGTCATAGAAATGTGAGCCTTGACCATCTTAAAGCAGCGTGTCACAATTGTTTGCATTGATACATGCTTCAAATCACTTGATCAGATACTCCCTCAAAGGAACTTAAAGCACTGATAACCGATTCATATACTTCTATTCCTTTCATGAATACAGTATCCTTTAGGAACTGAGACCACCAATAAGTGTTTATATTAGTGCTGTGATTAAATATAGACTTAAAGATGGCAATAGATAATATAATCATGTATATACCTCGTTATGGTCATGCAATAAAATAGGAGTATTGGTCATTGGAGAGAACCCGAAAACTGGAATTCCCAAAGTGCGAAGAAAGCGAGAGTCTGTAGTTGAAGCCAAGATTTCAGGCTTTGCGAGTTTTCCACCAGTTGCTTCAACAGCTTGCTTGAAGATAGACCACCACGGATTAGAATCATTTGCTGGAGTCATTATAGGTCGCCCTAAATGGTCTCTTAACTTTCCTTTCTCTATTATCTGGTACAAGAAAAATAATTGTGTTCACTTAGTCTTTGACTAAATCTAAAACTATTGTAGCATGCGCTTAAATAGCAAAGTGTGGGCACCATACATCAGACTCAATCTTCCTAAATAGAGCCAAAGACATATGTAACATTATCAAATGAGAGTACATACTTTACCAAACTTTGTAGCTGCTGGTTGGTTTTGCTTAGGACATAGTCATCTCAAAATCCTTATCTTAAAGAAACTAAAATAGAGGTTGGAAAAGAGAAAGGTCAAATCTTCTTAATCAAACTACAGATATATAACTACACAAGGTATGTTGACGTCTCATATCCTCATTTTCACAAAACCAATGTGGAGGATTCAAAAGAAAGAAATCAAACAATCTTAACTGACTATTGAGTGTTATTCAGAGTATAGCTGAGAGGCATCTCAAACATACGTGTTACCAATGATCATAGAAGAAGTTAATAACGATCTCTTATCTAAGTATCAAATCAATGAATTCTCGTTAACGTAAAATGGCAATGGTTCTATATCTAAAGCTCTTTCAATCTATCACGCCACGCTTCCTCATTCGTCCAATTCATTTACAGTCATGTTTCACAAAAAACAAGCTCAAGAACAGTTCTGTATAACCCTAATACAGTGTGGACCTTAGCTGCTATTAACAGTTGGAATTGCATAGCCACAGAAACAACCAAACCATGGAAACGGTATCCACTTACCGTGTAGGTCAAGTTCCTAATAGAAGGAGCCCATTCTTCAGCAATCCTTTTCTTCATAACATCAGGATCAGCCATTGGAGGCAACCTTAAATCATATCCAGCTTCTGCTTCTGATGGCTGCATATTCATCACAAACCCCTAAAAAAAAAAAAAACACTCTTACACACAAAATAATCTCCAACACACCAAAACAAATCCCAAATCAAAAATCTTAAAACTCACAGTAGTAGAAGGAGTTCCAGCTTTAAGATAAACTGGATTCACAGAGATAACCTCCGAATTCGCAGCTTTACCAGCTTTAACAAAATCAAACTGTGACTCTCTAAACTTCGAAATCAACTCAACACTCTTCATCAAATTCTCCATTGCTGAATTATCATAAAGCTTAGCTCCATGACCTGGAATCCCCTCAGCTTTAATAACAAGATTCCATGGAATCCGATCAGCATAAAAAACCCTAAATTCATCACCAGGATTCGCTTGTCCTTCATCCATAGCAAATCCCAAATTCAAATCCCTAAACTCCGATGACGCAGCGAATTCCATCATCCCGTCGAATCCACCGATCTCTTCTTCAGGAACATAGGAGATATGAATCGTACGAAGAGGAACGAATCCTCTCGATTTCAAATTCCTGATTGATTCTAGATATTGAACTCCGATACACTTGTCGTCTTGCGCGCCGCGAGCGTAGATATGACCATCGTTGGTTTTGTGAGCTGAGAATGGTGGATGGATCCATTTCTCCGATTCGGCGGGGACTGAGTCGAGGTGAGAGTTGAAGAGAATTGATGGGAGGTTAGGGTTTGAGCCTAGCCATGTGAGGAGAAGAATTGGTTTACCAGAGACGAATTCGATGGTTTTAGCAGTGAGACCGATGGATTGAGCTTGGTTTATGAGGAATGAGACTGGTGCGGTGTAGTTAGGGTTTGGATGAGCGGTGTTGAATCTGAGGTATTGTTGGAATCGTGTTATTGGTGTATCTGAGGAGGAGGAGGAAGAGGATTGGAGTGAGAAGATGATGGAGAAGAGGAAGAGAGTCCAGAGAAGAGAAGCGACCGCCATGAATGGGAAGTTCAAAGGTTTTTTTAAATGCTTTAATCCGCATTATACCGATTTATTTTCTAAAAAATAATAAAATTTACCCTTTCGGTCCCACAAAGATAAATTTTCTAAAAATTTCAAATTTTTTAAGAAATAATGTATAATAACAATTTTAACCTTTTAACTTTCTAACATATTTTAAAAAATGTATTATTTATTATTGTTTAATAAAGGTAAAATAGGTAAACTGTTTTAAATTTGACATTAGAAACACAAAATTTCTATCTTTGTGGGACAAATTTTTTTTCTAAAAAATCCATCTTTGTGGGACGGAGGGAGTAAAATTTAATGATTATTTTTTATATATAAAAGTTTACAAATTTTATTATTTTATGGTTTACAATTATTATTAAGTAACGGTATACCACGAGATATTTTTGGTTTTATACAATCTTTTTCTAAATCAGATTGATTTGATATGTCTAATATTGATGGTGTTAAAAATAATAAATTAAGGATTTAACTCGTTTTGAAGCAGGGGTTAATGTTATTTTAACTTTTTATTAATGTTGATTCAAAAACCCGTCTCGCCATATAACCCCGTCCCACAATATAATCCGTCCCTTGTTATTTTAGTTTTTTTATTTGTTCAAATGTTCATAATATTATAAACATTTTATTGATTGTTGATATATCAATTATAATATTTAAAACTTTTTAAAAATTTAATATTTCCGGTAAAAATTAAATAGTTAAACTAAGAACCGAATTAAACCGTATACAAACTTTTAAATTTGGATGCTTGTTAAGTTAAGCTTCCTATTGATTCGGATTTGGATTTATTTTGATCTCATTTATAATATGATTCTGAATCATTATATAAATATTTTAGCCGATGTAGGACGTTGAACACACACCTTTTTCATCAATTAGGTAATATATGTCCGTTTTTAAAATTTCGAATCACAATATATGCAGAAAAAATTGAGATTTTTCTTAACTTTATGTATTATATGATGATTCTAAACAGTTAAAAAAATCAAACAAGATTGATAGAAGAATCATAATTTTAAATCTTAACCAAATCTTCTAAATATCTATCTTGTTAAATATGAAATATCTGGTGTAAGAGTTCGGTTTTTATAATCTGATCCAAATTAAATATAGAATATCCGAGTTGGGTACCAAATTTGTCGGATCACAATTTAATCCACCTGCTAACAAATGTACTTCAAAAATACTATAGAGATATCATTGTATTAAAATGATTAAATTTGTGAAGTAACATTTGTTATATTATATTTTTTATTCAATATTATAAATAGTTTTGTTTGGGTATGAATAGTCTAAGTTGGTGGTAATTAAATATTTTTTACTATTCACATGTTTAGGTGTTTAGGAGTTGGGACTATTACTTTTATTATAAGAATAGTAATAGTCCCAACTCCTAAACATGTGAAATGCTCTTGTATGAACAAATAATTATGTGATTTTTATAGTAGAAATTATCTGAAATGGACCCTTTTTCACTATTAATTAAAATACTGGTACCCGATAAAGGAAAATTGTAGAAATGGATATAATTTTGGATGAACAAAAGAATTGAATTAAAATAGAAAGCTGTAAGAGTTTTTTTTTTATATAAGAAATAATTTTTATAATTGGAAATTATATTTAAAAAAAGTAAAAGTATAAATTCACATTGACGAAAAAATAGAAAGATTGATTGTATCTTAATATTAAATTATAGTAAAATATAACAATTAAAATAATACAAATATATCTATAATATTTTTTGCTTTCTATAATATATCTATATAATAGGAGAGTTATCTCTCCATCTAGAGTGTCTACATCATCATCCAAGTTATTCTATTTTAATTTGTGTAGGCTCCATATATTTTATTTATCAAAACAAAAAAACATTAAAACAATAATTAATTTAGAGATTTGTAATTTATATTATTACTAGATAATGCCCGCCTAAATAGGAGAGTGTAATCTATAAATATAAATTGTTATCGATGATATTTGAATTTTGAATAATAAATAGTAATCCTTTCACTTTCCCTAATATTTAATAATTTAGTATTTTTTGTTTTAAACAAAAATTAAATCTTACGCATTCTATTTTTCTATACATTTTAACTATTTATTTCATCGTAATAAACTGAATTTTAATTCTACACACTCTTTCGTATTGATGATATTTAAATCCTAAAGTAACCAACCTTCTTTTTATATATTTAATTTAGTATTTTTTAGAAACGAAATTTTAATCTTACACATTCCATTTTGCAATATAATTTAACTATCTATAGCATCATAAGAAACTTGATTTTAAGTCTTCATAGTTCATCTTAATGGATAAACTGCTAATAATAATTTTGTATCAAACTCGTATGTATTTCATATCAAATCTATATCTTAGTTAATATTAAAATTTTAAATATAATTGACAAATAACGAAACATTTAATAAAAAATAAAAATCCACAAAAGTTATGGAAAACAAACATTGTTTAAAATATAGTTTTTCTATATAACGTAATCTCATAAGTTAGTTTTACCTTATGGCAAACTAATTTTAAATGAGTTAAAATTAATAAATAAATCATTAAAATGACATATATTAACATTCTCATTAAGTAATCGAAAATTCAATCATATAAGCCATTTTCCCAAATATTTTGTGTTTATAATTTTTACTACTTGCGTTAAAATTCTTAAAATAAAATTAAGTATAACCACTCTAATTTTCTTATCAAATATTCAAATATTCATTCGTTCTTATAAGCTCATTATTTTTTGTAAAAGTTTTGTGTTTTCATTTGACGAATAAAAACACTATATTATGATGATAAATACAATTTTATCCAATTAAATGAATGCTAAATAACTTATATTGTTATTTAAAACTTCAACAGTTATTGTTTATTTGTTAATACCCATACTAAATGATTTAAAAAAACAATTAACACATGCCAAATCTAATTGACCAATAACACATGTAAAGAGAAATTGTTAATTAGTTTTCCTTTTGGGTTAAGAAAAATTAAGTTAACAAATTTTGAAAATTGGATATATAAATTAGTATATGTAAATATTTTTTTTTTTTAGTTTTCATATTTCGTTAATGAAAAAAGTTAAATACGTTTTGGCACATGTCAACATCTGATCGATAGACTTGACACTTGTCACGTTCATGCGAGTTATTAACTTTGAAAACCATACTTTATATAATAAGATAATAAGATATTTCATTAATAAAATAATAATTTACAAGAATAAATTAAATATTAAAAATGAAAAAAATAAATTTATAACACAAAATATGAAATTTTTAAATAGAGATGGGATAAATATAAAATTAGAAATTGTATCTTAACATGTAATGAGTAAATATTCCTAAATGACTATATATATGAAGAAAAAAAACTTATCATATATTTTAGTGATAAAACAATCATTTTAAAGAGTTACAATTATTTAGTAGAATAAAAAAAAATAAGACTTAAGAATATACTAAATTTAGAGATTTTTACTGAAAATAAAAATTAATTCTGAAAATACACATTTAAATTTAAAATATTAATAATATATATTTTTAATGTTAAATATCAATTCATGATACGTATTAAAATAAGAAGATTTGAGTAAATATTATTATTTATAGTTATAATATAATATAAATAGTTACATTAATAGAATTTTCTATATTATCATTGTTTTCTAAATTAAAAAGTGGTGGTTTTTTAAAAAATCAAATGAATACCTTAAAAAAGAAAACTAAATATTAATCAGGGTTTATGAAATTTTAACATATATAGAAAAAATTTAAGGTGATTTGAAATAATAATAAAAACTATCAGAAACATCAAAAATAAAAATAAAGTAATCCAATCGAATAAGAAACTGTGTAATAATAATATTTGCGAATGCTATTTAAAAACTTGAATAGTAATGGTATATTGAAGAGTTTTTAATATGAAGTAAAAATTAAGGGTGAAAAATGTATTTTAAAATTAGAATGATTTATATGAGTTCGTAGGTTACGAATTTTACGAAAATCAACATTAAGAATACTATATAGAATCATAATATACGTAAAATTATATATGTGAATTTGTTTTTTGTATTTTTCAAATGATCAAAATAAAGTGCAAAATTTAATGTTGAAATCCGATGTTTGTGAATATGTATGAGTCCATATATGAGATTTGTTGTCTATAAAGCAATTTTACATGCACCAAACATGGTCAAAAAAACTTTATGACAAATATCTCCCAAAATTTTCTAATGTTCACTTTAATAAAAATCATGCAACTTATAAAAAAAAATTGAGTATTGAAAGATATGAATGAGAAAATATATACAATCTATCTTGAGAAGTAATTCATAGTCAAGTATATTATATGTGAGTCAAATAAGGTGAAAAGAGAGTAGATGTCGGGAGACGAAGAGTAAATCATAGAAGATAACAAAAAAAATTGTAGTGAAAAGTGTGAAAAATATTTACTACTATGGAAAGATAATGAAAATAAGTAAAGTAAAATCTTTTCAAATTCAAATAATTCAAAAATTCGTATTGATAAAAAAAAAATTCAACTAAAACACCGCGCAACGCGTAGGTACATAATCTAGTGATATAAATTATAAAGCACAATTTGTGTAATAATAACAGTTAAAAGGATATGGGCTAAAATTGATCATGATAAGGTTAAATATTGGGAAAAGAAAATTTAAAAATGTCGTGTGTCTTCACATGTTTTTTGGTTTTAAGAAATTTCAGTTTCCATCAGTCAATATATATGCGAAGACTTTGTCGCCTACTTATTGTATGCTTTTTGTGAAGACTATCGCAGCTTTGAAACAAAGAAATTTGGATATATTACTGCGAAGAAATATGGAGTTTCAAAGACTTTTACTAGCTGCTTTGACCGTGAAGAATACTTCGAAGAATGACTAATCAGTGAGTCAAGCTGATTGAAAAGTACTACTGTCTATATATGCATTAAAAGAAGATGCCCATAAATCATATTTATAAAGTTGACCTGACCAACTATCTTTATACTTATGTTATGTTAACATATTAAAGAGTGTCATGTATCCATGAATAAATCGCTAAAATAATGAATTTTATTTTCATCATTCTTATGTTTTTTTAATAAAAATTGAAACAATATAGAAATCATTTGTGATTCTGATTTGTTACAAATTGGTTTTTTCGATCTTACAGTTTATCAGTTTTATAAAAAAAATAAAACCACCCAAAAACCATATGCAATTTGACTTGGTTCGATTTCGGTTATTTTTGGTTTATTCCATGATTTTTTACAAGAAGAAAAGTAACATTAGATTTTTATCTTGAATTGTATCATCTTTGATTAGACTCGATGAAACCGTGAGTATCTTCTAACATACTTTACCAGTTAAATGTTAAACATAGTATTATTATGACATATATATCATCTTTCAAAGAGTTTTATTTTCTCTTCTTCAACACGTATTGATATAAATTTTCTTGAACATTAGATTGAGAAAATTTATTCATCTACCTTATATTACCAAGAAGAAGAAAAAAATATTACAAAAAATAATAAAAGCTAACCAAACAAATGGTATCATAATAATAACAGTTTATAAACAAAACAAAAAAAACTGAATGGTTTTACAGTTTTAAACCGAACCAAAACCAAAACCAAAACCAAAACCAAAACCAAAATATTTTAAATAATTGTAGCCGAACGGGTTTTTGGAAAAAACGGAAACCAAAACAAATCTCTTAGTTACGGTTTAGTTCGATTTTTCGGATAATTCTTTCCACCTCTTATTTATTACTGTGAGCATAAGTTTATAATTTATTTTTATTATAAACTAGGAAATATAATGTATATAAAAGCGAATATTTATTCAACATTAATTTAAAATAAAAATAAAACGAAAGTCCGCTCGTAAAGCAGATAACTCATCTAGTCTTATTTGATTTTCCATTTTGGTTTTTGATTTACGGACTCAACTTAATTGAAAATATTACTACTACGTATAAACTTAATTCTTTGACAGAAGTACATAAGCAGTTCAGATTTTGACTTCTTGAGTTGATAAGCCATTCTATAGTTCCCAATTTTCCAAGCCGAGTTAACCTCGTATTTCGCGGTCTAAACTAGGCTCGCCGAATTACAAAAACCACGCACGATTTATCCAACCTCCTAATGATCGACAATAAACTATATTATGTTTATAGCTAGCGGATGATATTTTGAATATTTCTTCTATTTATTGTAGTTAATATATAAAAAAAAATTTGAAATTAGAATTTAAATATAATTAAATTATACAAATATATTGATATCTTAATGCTAAAATACCCATGAGAGGTTTTAAACCAATGTAGATGTTACAAGAATCATAGCGAAAAGAGAGAAATAGGGAGAGAGAACAAAAAAGAAAGGGTGTTATTAGTGAATAGCAAAATTAGACACATAAATAAAGGAAATAGCAAACTTACTTATCATGTTTTGTTTTTTAGTGATGGACTTAGTTGGTTATGTTATTTATTTAGTTTTTATGTTATTTATTTAGTTTTAAATAACTCAGATATTTTAAAAAGTTTCAAAATTGTCACCTACGTTTGTTTTGGGTTAGAATTTATTAATTTAATAGAGGACGACTTGTACCTAAATTTGGTGTTAATATATCTTGAATCTGATCACTGGCATATTGATGTGAGACGTGACTTTTGATCCACGGAAAAAAAGACAATCTCATGGAAAGTAATAATTAAACTTTTGATCCACGGCAAGACGAATGATCTTAGGTTTCTATATATATACACATGCAGAGACTAGAGATCAGTAGATGCTTAATGCTTTGCCTTGACAAACATCCAGAAAATGAGCTTTCTACTTCGTTCAATCTGTTTTCTTATTGTCGTTTCTAATTTTGTACACACGTTGGCTTCACTTACACGGCATCTATGTCGTCCTGATCAAAGGAATGCCCTTCTTGAATTCAAGAGCGAATTTACGAGATCATGTGATTATACTACTTCTTTTCCGAAGACAGAATCATGGACAAACAAGAGTGACTGCTGTTATTGGGATGGTATCACGTGTGAGGCCAAGTCCGGCGAAGTGATCGAGCTAGATCTAAGTTGTAGCTGCTTCCAAGGCCAACTCAATTTCAAAAGTAGTCTTTTTAAGCTGCAAAAACTTCGTGTCCTCAATCTTGCTTACAACGAATTCAGCTCTTCTGTGATACCGACTCAGTTAGGTACACTCTTGGAGTTAACACGACTCAACCTCTCTAACTCTTGGTTATCGGGTCGAATTCCAGCAGAGCTTCTTCATTTAACCAAGTTGGTGTCTCTTGATCTTTATTCCAATTCTTTATCAGCTGAAAAGTCATTTCTTAGCAAACTTGTCCAGAATTTGACAAACCTCGAAGAGCTTAACCTAGGTCTTGTTGACATTTCTTCAGAAATTCCCCAAAATATTTCAAAACTATCCTCTCTCAAATCACTCTCCCTTAAATTTTGTGACTTGTTTGGTAAATTTCCAAGAAATCTTTTGATTCCTACTTTACAATCCATCGATTTGTACGGAAATCAAAATATGGAGGGCTCTCTTCCAGATTTTAGTGGAAATAACTCTCTTGTCTTGTTGGACCTCTCTTTTACATCCCTTTCAGGTAACATACCTGACTCCATCAACAACCTCAAACATCTAAATTCCTTGACACTTTGCAGTTGTGATTTCTCCGGAAGGATTCCATCTTCACTTGGAAACCTTTCTAATCTATCCGCTCTCGACCTTTCAAATAATCATTTCTATGGTCGGATCCCTTTTTTAGTTGGAAACCTTTTCCATCTCACCCATCTGGACCTTTCTTCCAATAGATTTGATGGCCAAATTCCATCTTCATTTGTCAATCTTAAGCAACTAACTAGCTTAAGGTTTGATTCCAATAAGATTAGTGGTAGTTTCCCCCTTTCACTACTCAATCTTACAAAGTTATCAGCTTTATCCCTCACCAAAAATCATTTCAGCGGTATACTTCCTCCAAACATAAGTGCACTCTCCAATTTGAAGACTTTTGAGGCAAGTCACAACACTTTCAGTGGAACTCTCCCTTCTGATCTCTTCACCATTCCTTCTTTGACCTTTATTGATTTGAGAGATAATCAACTCAACGACATTTTTGAATTTGGGAATAGTTCTTCACCATCTAAACTAGGAAGGTTATTGCTTGGTCATAACCATTTCAGGGGATCAATCCCAATATCCATTTCAAAACTAGTCAATCTTGTCGACCTTGATCTTTCCTATTTCAACACGGGGATGGTAGTCGACTTTGGTATCTTCTCGCAACTCAAGGGGCTCATGAATCTTGACATAAGTTATTTGAACACCACCAACACTGTTGATTTAAGTATCATATTCTCACATCTCAAGAACCTATCTAGATTGGATCTATCGGGGGAGCACGCCTCAACTTCAAAGATGGGTTCAGTTTCCAATCTACCATCACACTTGGTTCGGTTGTACTTGTCAGGCTGTGGTATCACAGAGTTTCCAAAATTTATAAGAAACCTACAACAGATTTCTGACTTAGACCTCTCCAACAACAACATCAAAGGTCAAGTGCCGCAATGGGTATGGAAACTACCAATGTTGATGATCTTAAATCTTTCCAGCAATTCTTTTACTGGTCTCGAAAGATCCTCAAATGATTCCTCAAGCGCAGAGATTCTTATGTTAGATCTGAGTTCAAACTCGTTCCAAGGACCGTTAGTTATCCCACCACTCTCTTCTACGGAAGCCTTGTTAGTCTCCAAAAACAACTTCACTGGAAAGATCCCCCGATCCATATGTCAGCTAAACTTTCTACAAACCCTTGATTTATCGAATAACAACTTCACCGGCTCAATTCCCCGGTGTTTAAGGAGTCTGAATAATTACCTTTCGGTACTTAACCTTCGATATAATCAACTTAGAGGAAATATTCCAGAAATATTTACCAATGCTACCGAGTTAAATTCACTTGACGTCAGCCACAACAAATTGGTGGGGAAACTTCCAAGGTCTTTAAAAAGCTGCTCTGGCCTAGGAGTTCTCAACGTGGGGAGTAACAGAATGGACGACGCTTTTCCATTCTGGTTGAATTCTTTGCCTGAACTAAAAGTACTTGTACTCCGCAACAACAAATTCAACGGACTCTTATACCGTCATCATTATCACTCTTTTGGGTTTCCCAAGCTACAAATCGTTGACATATCCAACAATCTCTTCACCGGGAACTTGCCATCATATTACTTTGCAGGTTGGAACATGACAACGAGTAAAGATTTTTCAGGATTTGACTACATTGGAGATGGAAGCTATTACCATGATTCGATGGTCTTGACGAGTAAAGGAGTAGAGATGAAACTCGAACGGATTTTTACACTCCTAACAGCCATTGATTTTTCTGAAAATAGACTCCAAGGAAAGATCCCTGAATCTATTGGTCTACTTAAGGATCTTATTGTGCTCAATTTTTCAAGAAACAGTTTCAATGACAGCATCCCTTCATCTTTGGCGAATCTAACACAGCTCGAGTCTCTAGACTTATCGCATAACAAGCTTTCAGGTCAAATTCCACCTTCTCTTGGGGACCTCACTAGTCTCTCCAACATTACCATGTCTCACAACAAGCTTGTCGGTCCAATACCGCAAACTGCACAGTTTCAGACGCAGTTTGCTTCGTCTTTTGAAGAAAACCTTGGACTATGTGGTCTTCCTCTTGACAAGAACTGCGGAGACGTGGACACCAAGAAATCAAAAGAGCCAGAAGCAGAGGAAGAAGAAGAAGATAGAGTTTTGAGCTGGACTGCAGCTGCCACTGGCTTTGCACCTGGATTCATTCTAGGATTGACCATTGGGTACATCGTGATTGCACTCAAGCCTCAATGTTTCGTGAAGAAACATAGACGCAGCGGAGCACGTTAGGTCATTTCGCTTGTAAGTTATGTTTGATCAATGACTAATATATTTCATATACATATGAAAATATTCTTGCAATTGATTCACTGTTCTCTTTCAATTCACAGTTGAGAGAAGTTACGTAATATAAACCGTAGATGGGAAGGAGGACGAAGAACAGAACAGCAGTTTGGTTTTAAGTGTTTGTGCTTTTGTGTTTTGAAATCAGGCCCAACCAAATTTTGTTTGCTATCTATAACTTTTTTTTTTGTAAAATTGATATCTATAACTTCTGTATTTTTTTTGTCTTGAAATGATATTTTATTTTATGGTTCAGTTATTTAATAAAATAACAAATTAAAAACATGTGTAGTAGGAAACAGGAAGAAGAAAAAGAATTATTGCATGTGTTATGTATATATCAAAGACATATCAAACACGATATAAAAGCTTTTTTTTACTCAATAATTGATGTAAATGAATTACTAACATAGTCACGATAATCAATGTCTGATTGTTTCAAGAAGTATGATCACAATAGAAGAAATCGTGTTTTTCCTCGGACCCCATATTTAAAGAAATGAAGGAAAAAAAAAGTGAAGATGTTTGGCTAATGTTGGTGAGTGATGATGAAGCCTCAAGAGTAACAAAGAAAGTGAAGAAGATGGGAACAAACACATGGAACTCCACTCTCACTTTCAAATATTTGTGTTGAGCCCTGAAAGATTACACTCATGCAAGTAGGCATCTATCCACTCTCTTCCATAATTGAAACTTGCGTCACCATTCACTTTCTCATTTTGTATATATATTTTGACCAAATCATATCCTTGTCTCACAATTTTTTATTCAACTTAAGATCTATAATTATCTTACTTTAGTACATCGTTCATTTTCTTGTTTATGTTCACCACACCAAACAAATGACACTAAACGAAAACATTCTAAACTTGCTTCTTTTTTTGGCACTTAAATCTACTGTATATTTTTTCTTTTCTAAAAATGAACTTACAACTCTTAAAATTACAACTAAAGATTTTTTCTTAAAAACATATATAAATGCTAAACGTAAATGTTTGCTTTGGTGTGTGTGTTTTGCACTTTGTAAATGCTAGCTAGCAGTGATTCCTACGACAGTCGATTATCTTTACATTACTCAAGTGTCTAGAATTTACACACTCAATGATTTAGCCACATCATCTACTACGCCATCTAAGACCCAAAGAATTAGTTTTTTCTCGCCTTGAAACAGGAGAGAGCGATGGGACAAAACCAATGATTGATAGTCGAGTCGATATATGACTTAAAATATCTCTAGGCCATTTACCAAGATAAACTCCAAAAACACTACGGTTTTAGATGGCTAGATTCGGTTCGGTCCAAAAACACTATTGTTCGACCCAGTATGCAATGTTGTTCCTATATGATTGAGGCTCTGAGATCAGTTTCCAAAAAAGAAAATATTCTTAGCAAGATCTTTAAGTAGGTTTGAGACCAAGCTGATTTACAGGATTAAAACCCCTTCAAAAAATTTGCCAAAAAAAAAAAAAACCAAGCTGATATACAAGATGCACGCAAATGTTGGAAAATCGAGACCACAATTTGACGCATATCATTCTCCGAGGAAAAGAGTTTTCCTAGAGAATAAATGGGGGACAAATGTTGGTGTCAAACGTACATTTGAGCCCGACCCAAGAAAAAATCACATTGTTATTTTTTTTTTTTTTGATAAAATGTGAATTTATATTACCAAAAAGGAACATTGTAGATTTACATAATGCACTAGGCAGAGAGCTACTAAGACCAAAAAAAATTAAAAAGCCTTAGAAACTGAAATTAGAAGATAACTGATGAAATTACTTAGACGAGTTAGCTATGAGCGAACCATTGGCTGAGTAATCTGCCGCAGCCTTTACGATACCTGCGAGCGAGGAGCGTGTCTTTGATGCTTCTGTCAATTTGGTTAAAAACAGAGGCAGTAGAGGCGACAATGTTGTCATGAGTTCTGATATTCCGTTCCTTCCAAAGAAGAAAGATAGTTGCGTGGACCGCAATACGTTTCAGAGTAGTGGAAAGATTATGGGATTTGGAGAGAAGCCATGTGATAAGCGATGACCAATCAGCAAAGATACAAGGATGCTGGCCTAGTCTGGCCATAACAATATGCCAAATCTCTTCAGAGAAGGAGCAATGGAGAAGAAGGTGATCTCTTGTCTCCACTTGAGAGTTGCAAAGCGGGCATTCAGGCGAGATCTGCATTCCCCATGAGAGAAGTCTGTCCCTCACCGGAAGCCTGTTCAAGTTCGCAATCCAAAAAGTAAAAGCATGTTTGGGCACAGAGTGTTTACACCATACCGCTTTGAACCAGAATTTCTTTTCCTCTGAGGGTCTGAGCTGATTCCAAGTGAGCTTTGTTGAGAAAGTATTGGAAGAGCGATTACCAGCTTCCCAAGAGTAAGAGTCGTCACCTCTTTCAGGGGAAGGCGCCTGGATGGAAAGTAAGGAATTCCTGAGAATAATGATGTTCTGGTTTCTGGATCTGCGAGAAGGGAGCCTCCAGCCAGATTGGTTGCAAGCATCTGCGACAGTTGCATCATAAGGAATACTAATGGAAGAAGGGCCATTAATTCCAATTAAGTCAATAAGAACTCCAAGAGAAGACCAGTGGTCATGCCAGAAGCTAGCAGAATGACCATTCCCTAATTTACATTTGATAAGAGCCTTAGCCAAGGGTCTCAAGGAGATGAGGAACTTCCAAATCCAGCAAGAGTTATTATGCGGTTCCACAGTCCAGAAGGATTGTCTTTTCAAAAAATGCTCTCTCATCCAAGCAACCCAGAGGGAACCACTGCTCGAGAAGAGGAGCCAAACCAACTTCAAGTTAAGCACCTTATTCCAAATCTGAAGGTTCCTTAGACCCAGCCCTCCTTCAGCTTTAGGAAGACAGACCTTATCCCAAGAAACTTTAGCAGCTGTCCTCTTAGTAATATCCCCTGACCATAAGAAGCTATTACAGATCTTTTCCAATGCTTTTATGCAGCCTTTAGGAAGAGAGAAGGCAGACATCCAAAAGTTGATCAAACCGTAGATGACTGAGGAGATTAACTGAAGTCTTCCAGAGAAGGAGAGACACTTTACTGCCCAACAGTTGAATCTAGTAGTAACCTTGTCCAATAGGGGAGAGTAGTCAGATTTGCGTAGCTTTCTGTGAAGAAGAGGGAGACCAAGGTACCTAATGGGAAGAGTACCATGTTTGAAGCCAAATGCCTCGAGATTATCTGAGTCAATTTGATTCAAGCCAGCGTGAAACAATTCAGTCTTCTCAATGTTCATGCACAGACCAGAGAGACCCTCAAAAGATTCCAGAGTAGAATTTAGCTCCCAAAGTGAGCTTTCCTTACCGTCAAAAAACAGCATAATGTCATCAGCAAAAGCTAGATGAGTTATCTTAGGTTGCCTTCCCAAAGGATGGTAGCCGATGGTTCCCATTAAATCACATTGTTATTGAGGTAACTATACCACCAAAAACCTTGTCAAGACTATAAATATATCGTAAAGCCAATTGTCGTTCTTTTCATCTCGCAGCCCACCACCTCGCAAAACCCCCATTACATTCAAACTATCAAGTAAAAACAGTGGAATCGAAACATTAATTGTCGATTTAAAGACCAAGATAGAGGTGGGCGTTACATGATCCCCGTGAAAAATGTGATGAAGGGCACATGAGAATGAATAGAGAATGAGAGGTGATCATAAAAACTCTAAATCTCTCTATGTGCACAAAATTGACTTATACAATTAGTGTCTTCTTGATATTTGCAACTCTTGTTCTCCATATTCACATGTAATCAATAAAAATCTCTTTCTCCAATTTCGAGCTATCCTAACGAAGATTTTGACCTCGATTTTTGTTATTCGCGATAAACTATATTATCAAACTGGATTTCGAATCGATAGATTTTTATTCCTTATATATTAGTAGTAATAAAGATTTGATCACACTAATATTTGCAAGCTAAAGGTCATTAAAAAAGGGATACCATCATACCAATTCTTCAAGCAAACGAAAATTTCCTCACACTTCACACGTATATTGCTAAGCCAACATCATGTGAATAAAGAGACTGATAAAAATCAACTGAGAGAAACAATAAAGTTTCACTGACGTAATTAAAAGAAGATAAAAGGATGATAATAATTTTTATGAAAAGTAGAAAAAAGAAAGTAAGAAACAAGATGGTTCCCAGATTTGGGCATCCCACTTACCTCTGTTGGAATCCTAATTCGAGAGCATTACCTTCTCTAACTTCTCTTATTTTCCCCACTCAGCTTCTCTTTCTGAACAATTCTCTATGTGCCCCTCTTTTTTTTCCTTTATACATATTCCTCCCTTAAACTCTTTTAAAGGAATATAGCCAACATTGTTTTGTTTTGAAGTACTTAATAAATAGAACTTTTAAGCATTTTCATAGTGGCTTAAGTAAATAAAAAAGATTATTACTATTACCCTACTAATAAATACGCGCGTATACTCTCGTGATAATAGAAAAATGTAAAAAAAAACATACATTATAGAGTTAAGTGCCTTTAAAAATTATAGAGTTATCATAACTGGATTACAATTAGGATATGATAAAGTTAGACCAACATATTAAATCATATGGAACTAGTCTACATGGATCTTAACATTTTAATTCTACAAAGGCAAAATTGATAATTTCCTAGTCATACAGACCATGTTAGTTCAGTGAATATATGTGTATATATATTCAAATACGATATAATACATGTTTTTTATGTAATCGTAGGTGGTCTAATCTCATTTACTCATATAGTACATGTATTGTATACTCTCTCTTTTTCTTTTATAAGAAGCGATGTTTAAAAAAAAAAAATTGTTTTATTTTATTTGATTTTTCAATTTTTAAAATAATATTAATTATTTTAAAATTTGTTTTGACCCTTTATATTTTATATTTTTTTATTGGTTAAATAATTTAAAAATGATGTTTTAAATTATATAGAAAACCAAAACATAAAATAATTTCTTAATTTGTGTGTTGAAACCTTAAACATCACTTATACTGAAACAAATAAAGCTTTTAAGTAGTACTAGGGATTGACCCGCGGTACACCGCGGGGTAATTTTTTTCTAAAATTTATGATTTTTAAATTTTTTAAATTATGTATTATATAGAAAAATTTAAATAGAGTATAAATGATCATTGTCGAGATATTAGAAAAGATTGTCTCCAGATTTTTGGCAAACGAAT